AACTAGAGCTGCGGAACGATTCGTCACGATTAATCGATTCAAAATAAAAGTGTATGTTTACATATGATATGTGTGTGCACTGTGTATATTTATTATGTATATATAAATACACACACATGCACTATATATTTAAGAAAAATATGTTATGTTTATATATTAAATATATTTATATATAATATAAATTATATAAATATAAACATGTAGATATTTTCAAAATATATAGTGCATGTGTGTATTTATATATACATAATAAATATACACAGTGCACACACATATCATATGTAAACATACACTTTTATTTTGAATCGATTAATCGTGACGAATCGTTCCGCAGCTCTAGTTTGAATGCACACCTGTGATTTAAAATGTATTAATTTTCTGTGAACATGTTTTAATTTAAACTGCAGGTTCGTTCAGTCCGGCACTGGTCAGTGTGTGTTTGGATGTTTTCTAACACTGTTCAACCGGTTAACAGTTAACCGGCTCTCATGTTTCTCTCTCTGTCTGTTACAGCAGATTAATATGCATAACAAAAATAAACAGTACTTTCATTATTTGTACATATACAGTGTGATTTACTGCACCGACGGAATCAAATCGGGGCAAATACATTAAAGAGAATGACCAAATATGATTAAAATATGCAAGCAGACAGTCAAAACGGCAAGCAAGAAATTAATCGATACCTTCGAAAAAACACATGCATCATTTTCAATGTCAACAGAAAAAAAAGTGCCAAATATGAGTGATCGGAAAAAGCAACGTAATTACGTATTTCACACTCGTGTGTCATTCATTGATGCATACTGTATGATAATCCGACAATAAAACAAATGAACAACAACAAAGACCTAGAGGAAGTCTGTTGTAAAGAACATAATACAGAACTTTGCACATCAAAACGAACAAGTGTGCGTGTGTTTATAACGTCGTGATGGGCAGTATATGCACACTTGGGCTCAGTGTTGCCAACTTCAATACTACATCTGGATCATATTCAGTAATATTATCAAAGCAAAGCTGCAGTAAATGGCTTTTCATATGCATATGCTTACATATGAGATCGCTCGTTTCTGCGTCTTCCTGGTCTGTGTTTTTGATCGAGTGATTCTAGACTCATTCAGGAGATGCGTAATAGCGCCCCCTAGCGTATAACAGTGAGAACACGGAAAATTCCGTGTTTGGCAGGGAAAGAGTTAATTGCTGTGTATTCTGCACGTTTGCTTTCCACTAGTATGAAACAAGAAACATGTTATGGAAGCAAAATAGAGCTCAAAACCTACAAGCTACTAGACTACCTGTATTCATCTCTCCACGTGAAGAAACACAGCAGGACACCGGCTTTCATTTCCTCGTCATTTATTAAAGCCAACAGTTTAGTGCAACTGCATGACGTCACATTATTTTGAAGGAAACATGCACATACTGTGAGGTCACAGGTCACTGACAGACTGACCGTGTGACCAGAGCCATGGACCGTAAGGCAAATACTTAACGAGAGCAGAACTCGTTCACGAGCTCACAGAGAATCCGTCCTGAAAGCGGATTCGCAGTCCTTGACACAGAGGGCAAGGGTTCGGGGGTCAAAGGTCACGCTCGTCCTCGGGGCGGTGCTCGTTTGGTCTTATTCACATGTCGACGACAAAGTGCTCCTTATGCATTCAATACAGCTAGAGGAACAAAACTAAAAGCCAACCAATAAAACCAGCAGAGAGACTGGAGTGCTGGATAATACCGTCCGGTCCGGATTGTCTGAGAAGCAGCGTCTGTGCCGTGTTGATTGCGGAGTCCGTTCACAGCATCGCGTCTCGAGAGGTAGTCAGGCGGTGGGTCCGGGGCCCGGGGCCCCTGCGGTGGGCGATCCGGTCTGGACCTGCGCCTGGAACTGTGTCTGCTGCTCTGGACTGGACAGGTTCTTCAGCACAGAGTTCTCCTGCTCCAGCTGAGAGTTCCTCTCCATCAGCTCCTTGATCTGCTCCTTCAGCACCTCCACCTCCTCACGCACCGCGAACATCAGGTGACTCTTCACCAGGTCCTGCGCAAACACAACCAGACCTTACCACGAGACACCGCAATCACTCACGTCAAACGTTTGCTCAACAAGGCTGCGTATATTTGATCAAAAACAGAGTCAAAAATGTGACATATTATTAGAATTTAAAACCGCTGTCTTCTAAGTTTAATCTGTTAAACTGTAATGTATTCATGTGATGCGCAGTTGTATTTTCAGCATCATTACTCCAGTCTTCAGTGTCACATGATCTTCAGAAATCATTCTAATATGCTGATTTGCTGCTCGAGAAACATTTCTGATTATTATCAATGTTGAAAAAACTGATACATTTTATTTCTCAGGATTCACAGATGAACAGAAAGTTCAAAAGAACAGCATTCATTTGAAACTGAAATCTTTTGTAACATTATAAATGTCTTCACTGTTACTTTTGATCAAATTAATGCATCTTTGATGAATAAAAGTATCAATTTCTTTAAAAAAAAAAAGCATTATTTCATATATATTACATATATGGAATAATTAACAGGACATTTGAGCAGAAAATAAGAAACATTTCTGATTATTATCAATGTTGCAAACACACATAAAAATCTAAATTATTCCAAACTGGATTTCTGGAATTTCTGGCAGTAAAAGCTTGAAAACATTCTCACATCGCTGTTATTTTACTATCATTAATACACTAGTATAGTTTCTATATTTTCTGGCTTCACTTTAGGTTTAGTTGTAGTTTTAATCATTCTTTTATTAGATTAATTTGCATATGTCAGTATTATTGCAGAATCTTGCTACTCTCACAGTTTTTGTTAATATTAAGAATTCTTACTTTATTTTTATATTTTTGCTTAATTTAATTTGATTTAATAATTATGCTGTGCGTTTGTCTTATTTTAAAATGTCTATATCATTTTTATTCAGTTGTTTTAGTTTATTTAGCTTTAGTTATTTTAAACTAATTGAAAATGTTGCCTTGGCAACTATGTTTTTTATATTTCAGTTAACGTTTATTTTGTTTCAAGTAATGGTTATATTTGTATGATTTTTGTTTTAGTTATCAATAATATCACGACTCATGTTTTCAGTCATTTGTGATGATTGGATAAGGGGTCATTTCCACACAGTATTTTAGAGCATCAGAACACAACTAGAAACATGTATATTGCCATCACGGTTTAATAATTCCAGTTTGGACATGAGCGTGAGAACAGCAGGGACTTCTCCAGTCAGCTAAAGCTCTAGGGTGAGATGCGCGGCCGGTTCGATGGGTTAAAGCCATCAGCGATCAGGATTCTGTGTGCAATCTTTAGGCTGCTGGTCCTCCGGGCCGCAGAGGAACAGAACGTTCTTCATCAGAGGGTGGAGCTGCTGGGTTATTCAGGGCATCCGTGTGTCAGAGTTTGCCTAGCAACAAGCACGGGCTCCAAATACAGCCAGATCCACACACACACACACACTCACTCACACACACACACTCTCTCTCTCTCT